TATCAAGCTCATCTGGTATACAGTCGCAATAGACCCTATATCCTGATACCCAGATAATGAATACGTTATTGTGACTGCAGATTTCGCTTACAGATATGACGCAAGGTAAGACGATTTTAAATTAAATACATGTAGAGAATGTAAGGCTTTAATAACTGCCTTTATTAGTTTAAGAGGTTTTAGCTGAAAAACGTGTTATTTGCCTCTACGATAACCTAATCAATAATTAACATAAAAAATATTTTATAGTCAATTTTTTTCATTTAACACTAAATACCTATAATATATTGCATTTAATTAATTTTTTTTGAATACTGGAAAAATTATATTCAAGTGTTTTATTTTTATTTAAATTTTTTTTTTGTTTACGTGATTTTTTTTGTGATATTTTTATGCATTAAATTTAGTAATATTGCAGATTGAATTTAATAAATACAATAAAAACAATCACAGTAGAAATAATAATTAACAGAATATATCCTCTTTTAATTTAATTTAATGCTGATGCATCAAAAAAGGACTATATCCGTACATGCGAATGTATATGTATATATCTATATATATGTAATAAAAATGTACTTAAAAATCATAATGATACTTTTTAATTTTAAATATATTTTTGCATTTGAATTATGTGAAGAATTTCGTTAATAATTATTAAAATAATAATTTCTTTAGCTTAATAAATAAACGAAATATTTTAATAATCAGAAATATATTGATTGCAACTCAGGCCAAATGAGGCCAGGATAGTTGGTGTTTTACAATACTTTTAAAATAAATAATTTTAAATATATTAATTATATTTGCAATTAATTATTTTTTCATTTTAGAGTAAATTCCATACAAATATGAGTAATTCAGCAATATATACCGCGATACATTGTATTTACTTGTTTACACATTTATTATATATTTAACATTATTTCAGTCATAAAATTATGTTTGTGTAATGGAAATATTTTCATATACAATAAGTATATAAAGTCAACGTGGTGTGAACTATTATTAATAGAGTCGTTAATGGGTTTTTAAAGAGTTAAAAAAATTTCATAATTTTATTGAAAAGTTAAAGCTTACAACAATAACGAGGGGAGCAACAGGTCACGATTACCATATTTATTTAATAAACACAGTGTTTGAGTTATACGCATATTTATTACATATATTACATATATTTATATAGACAAATAGATACACGTTATAATCTATTTAATGTATATGTACATAATTATAGTAAACATTTCCATCAAAAAAATATTTCAAAGTCGAAAAAGATATAAAGTAAGAGCAAAACTAAGAGCACTCAAGGAAAAATAAAATTTGTCACAAAAAATAGGATCAATTACACAAGGAAGACTAGGAAAAATAACCATTTATATTATAATACAGTGGAAGAAAAGGTGACTCATGTATAAGACTTAAAGTTTGGTTCAAGAAACAGCAGAACTTCCTTTTCTATCTAAGTGGCACATAGCTGCGATTTTGTCACCACACACGCGGACATGTAATTTTAAGATCCTAACCCAATCTGTGCTGCTGAGAATGGGACTAGGTATATTTGGAGGATCTATATTTGGGATGTTCACCAGGTTGATTAGTTTGTACACACCTATTTTACTATAGGTCTTAATATTGACTTCCACAATTCTAGTTAAAGAGAACATCTAATTTTTTGTCATAACAATTTTAATCCTGACAACTTTCATTCTTAATAAATTGTAGATTGGTCATAGTAGTTTGAATCTTTTGCAACTAATCGAAGTTTTCTTTTAGGACAGCGCACTGTAAAACAAATGGCCCTACTGAAGTGAAGGATTAGCCGAAGTAGACCACGAAACTAACTACTTGGCTCCTTTTTCGTCTTTTCACTCTCGGATGTCGTTATTGAGTTAGAGCTAGTGTGGCTTCCGTTTTCCTTTTGTTACTTAATTTAGCTATAACAACTCAACGTTTGGGTTGACCTGCCACAGCACCACTATTCAGGTACCCCTGCTATATGCACGATTTTCTCAATGTGCTATATGCTATATGCACGATTTAACTTAATCTTTTTCACTTTAACATCATCAACCATTCTTACGACATGATCAAGCCAACGAAACCTCTAGATATTAATTCGTTGGATGTTGTCAAAGACGTGATGAAGCTACGGTTACGATGTTGGTTACGATGATGCCAAGATGTATAAAATCATTGCAATTGCAATAATCTAGTTGTTAGCTTGACGTTTGGATATTTTTTACTAATAGCCGACAAATATTTAGTTTTGCGCTCATATGCCGCTGTACCATTTTTTCGGTTTTTTTGTTTTGTTGAGGGTGATGAAAGCTGCGAGAGCAAGAATCTCGGCGGATATGTAAAATATTATATTAGTATGATAAGCACCTGCCTTGCACATAATCACTTCCCTGAAAAAATTGAAGAAGACACATAATAAGTGGCGAGCTATTCTAAAGCCTCGCACGGAATAAAAAAGATAGGAGGAACTTAATTTACCCTTATAGAGCTACGAGAATTGCTCAGCTTCATTTGACAGAGGCCTTATTAATATCAAAAGAGGCTCCCTAACAATCTATAAAAAGGTGATGGGCTCATTGTTCACAGAATCTTTGAATATATTGAATGGCTCCACACACACACATTGGTGCTACTTACCTCATTTTAGTCAGTTAGTCTTCTAAGTAAGTTTATTTGATAGTTTAACGGGATCTCCGAAAAAAGTGTTTGCAAGAATTGTGGCCGTATTTCTTATAAGGGCTGAATATCCACAAAATATGTAAGAACTTTAGTTCCTCCTCGTCCTCTTGGCAACTCCACAAAGATTTTCAGTACATACATGTCTATTAGATAATGGTACAACATGTAACGATTTAACAATTTAATACTTATTTTTTTTTATAACAAAAACGCAACGCGTAACAAATCGCTTTACCTTAATCCAATTTCCTTACAACGGCATAATGATAATATGTTAAATGCAATAAATGAGCGAATCTTTTCTCCCTTAAATAAATATTCTGTGACAATATTACAGCATCTACTAAATCTAAATTCCCCCATTTATATACATAAAAAATGAATATTTATCTTCTCCATACAGGCAGCAATTTCAATTACGATTATAAATATTTTTCTTTTCACTTATAATCTTTAAAGTCTTCATCCAAGTAAACCACAAAAATATCTTTGTTGCCTTCTTAAGGTGTCACACCGAATTTAACAGTAATTTAATAATTAATTTCATTCATGTGCAACATAAAAATAACAAATCATTCAATTTGCTAACAGGAAAATTTCCAGCGAACCCCCACCTGAAACCACAGCTACAAGAGCACGCAGATGATGCACACGGAAGCCTCGGCTCCACAATATTTTTATGTGGCCTCAAAGATAACAGATACTTTGTCTACTAAACACCTTTGGAAAGCACACCGAGTCATTGTCAAACTTTAAAGCGCCGAAATACGATTAGGGCAGATTACGTAGATTACGTGGCGAAAAATAAACACCAACGCGAAAATACCACGAAATAATGGAAAAACACATAAACGAATAAGAAAATGTAAAGAAAAATTAATAAAAAGTTTTTCACGAAACGCCGCTGATAAACTTTATCAATATGAGGCCGTTGTATATGACAGGAATTTTATTTTGACATTTTCCCTCTTTTCAACATTTTGATATTTAAATGTGAAGAATACGAGTATTCGAGGAATGAAAATAAGATTGAAAAGTCCTTTATTGCTTGTTTCCTGTTTGAAAGTGTTTCCTTAAGATTATTATAATTCTAAACATAAGTGATAAGGATTTGTTTTTATACTGGATACTTTCTTAGAGGTTTGATTTTTAAGTTGTCAACACTGTTTTAGTGGCAACTATTCCAACAGTTGAGATCTCATTTACTATGTATATAAATTTAATATATTTTGCCATAGCCTTTGATATGCTTATTAATCTAATAGAATTGTGGATTCATATTTTTAAAAAACGCACGATCCAAATGGTATGCTCAATATAGAGCTCTATAGGCACTATAGCTCTATGGTGGTAAGGTCTTCTGAGTTTTACAAGACAGTGCAACATGCCACACCACATTCAAAATATTCAGACTATTGTGCAAAACATGAGCTGAGGAGAAACCTCTACTCGTACTTAATGGTTCAGTAAATTAGCCCCAAATATCACGTGATCACATTCTGTTTAGACACCCCACATACATTGTGAGGTCGAGCGACTCAGAATTTGTTTAAAATGAATTGTCGTTCTTATATACTTATACCATACTATGTACTATATTAGATACCAGATGGTATATACTATTTACTACTGCATATATCAGATACTATGTACTAATACAATTGCAAGACTTGGATGCCGACATTTACAGAATTATTGTTGATATTAGAGTTAAAGTTCTTGAGAACTAGACTTCAAGACTACGTTTTATTCGACCCAGCCAAACATAAAC